ATGTATGTAAGTATGTAAGTGTGTAATGTAACGTAATGTAACGTCACGTAACGTAATGTAATGTATGTATGGATGAATTACGGAAATGAAAGTATGTATGTGCGTATGTAAGTATGTATGTATGTAAGGAATGTAACGTCATGTAATGTAATGTAACGTAATGTAGTGTAGTGTATTGTAATGCGATGCAATGTATGTATGTATGAATGTATGTAATGTAATGTGATGTGATGTAATGTAATGTAATGTGATGAAATGTACTGAAATGTGGTGCAGTGCAATGCACTGCGATGTAAAGTAATGTATTGCAATTTGACGTAATGCAATGTATGTATGCATGTATGTACGCATGTGTGTTTCTATGTACGTTTGTATGTATGCATGTATGCCATGTAAGTCATGTAATGTAATGTAATGTAATGTACTGTCGGCATGCATGTATGTATGTATGTTTGTTATGTATGCATGTTTGTATGTGTGTGTTCGTATGTATGCAACGTATTCATGTATGTATGTATGTACTGTATTGTATTGTATTGCATTATTTTGTATTGTCTTGTAATGTATTTGTATGTATGTATGTGTGTGTAATGTAGATATGTAATGTAACGTAGCGTAATGCTATGTAATGTAATGTAGTGTCGTGTAGTGTAATATATGTATGTATGTGTTATTCTTCCTATGCATGTATGTATGTATGTATGTAGCGCATGTATGTAATGCATGTATGTACTGTATGTATGTATGCATGGATGTATGTATGTATGGATGTATGCATGTATGTATGTATGTCATGGATGTAAGTATGTAAGCATGTAATGTAACGTAACGTAACGTAGTGTCATGTCATGTAATGTAATGTATGTATGTAATGTATGTCATGTATGCATGCATGCATGCATGCATGTATGTATGTATAGTATGTAATGTATGTAGGTATGTATGTATGCAATGTAATGTATGTATGTGCGTATGTATGTATGTATGTATGTACGTATGTGTGTATGCAAAGTAATGTAATGTAATGTAATGTAACGAAATGTAATGTAATGTAATGTAACGTAATGTAATGTAGTGTATGTATGTATGTAATGTATGTATGTATGTATGAATGGTATGTATGTATGCATGTATGTAATGTATGTATGTGTGTACGTATGTATGTATGTATGTATGTAATGTAGTGCATGTATGTATGTATGTAATGTATGTATGTATGTATGAATGGTATGAATGCATGTATGTATGTATGTAATGTATGCATGTAATGCAATGTAATGTAATGTGTGTAATGTAACGTAATGCAATGTTATGTAATCTAATGAATGTCTCTATGTATGTATGTAATGTATGTATGTAAGCATGCATGTATGTATGTATGTAATGTGTGTTTGTATGTATGTATGTACGCATGTATGTAATGTATGTATGTATGTATGTATGTATGTATGTATGTAAGTGAAACGTAACGTAACGTAACGTAACGTAATGTATGTATGTATGTAGCGTGAAAGTATGTATGTACGTATGTATGTATGTGTGTAAGGTGTGTAATGTAATGTAATGTAATGTAATGTAGTGTAGTGTATTGTAATGCGATGCAAGGTATGTATGTATAAATGTATGTAATGTAATGTGATGTGATGTAATGTAATGTGATGAAATGTTCTGAAATGTGATGCAGTGCAATGCAATGCGATGTAAAGTGTTGCATTGTATTGCATTGTATTGCAGTTTGGCGTACTGTAATGTATGTATGCATGTGTGTTTCTATGTACGTTTGTATGTATGTATGTATGCAATGTAAGTCATGTAATGTAATGTAATGTACTGCCGGCATGCATGTATGTATGTATGTCTGTTATGTATGCATGTTTGTATGTGTGTGTTCGTATGTATGCAAAGTATTCATGTATGTGTGTATGTACTGTATTGTATTGTATTGCATTGTTTTGTATTGTCTTGTATTGTATTTGTATGTATGTATGTGTGTATGTATGTAATGTATGTATGTACTGTATATATGTAATGTAGCGTAGTGTAATGCAATGTAATGTAATGTAGTGTCGTGTAGTGTAGTATATGTCTGTATGTGTTGTTCTTCCTGTGCATGTGTATATGTATGTATGTATGTATGTGACAGTTGTCTGAAATTCCTTGTTCCGGAAACCGCCATCTTCGCGAGCAAAAAATTAACTTTCGCGGACCCCATCGCAGAACTTTCGCGGGGCTATTTTCAGAACATTCATCACAAAAGTAATGCACAAAGTACACTTTCGCAGCCCCAGCTTCAAAGTCGCAGCTTTTCAATACGAAAGTAGCAAAGAAAACTTCCGCAGCCCGGCTTGAATGTCGCAACTTTTCAATACGAAAGTAATACATAAACTAAACTTCCGCAGCCTCGAAAGTCAAAGCTTTCTAACACAAAAGTAATACACAAAGTAAGCTTCCGCAGCCCCAGCTCGAAAGTCGAAATCTTTTAGTTCCAAAGTAGCACGCGAAGCGCGTTTCCGCAGCTCCAGCTCACAACCGTTACCTGCGCACGAGAGGACCCGTTGGCCTCATGTCCCGGAAAACTGGCGGGAGGTCCGTCGACTTTCGCGAAACTTTCGCGGATCTTACGCCAAACATTCGCGAAAATCCGGCTGGAAGTTGCGCTCAACTTGGCTCCAAAGCTTCAAAACTCCCACCAGCCGGTTTCTGCTGGCTGGGGGTTGCTTTTGCAGCGGCGTATTCTTGCGGCGACCCTCAGGCTGCGCATTCCCCGGCCAATTTTGGTCTGCGGGCATTCTGCCCGCACTGCCGGTAAATACACATGGTTCATCACTCCAGCTTCCTGTTAGCAAGCCACCCTCACAAAAAACTTTCGCGAATAAAAAATTAACTTTCGCGACCCCCTTCGCGGAACTTTCGCGGAGGTCAACGCCAAGACCAAAAGGTCTTCCCCTTCATAGCTCAATACAAGGACGGACGACTCTCATGTATGTATGTATGTATGTATGTATGTATGTATGTATGTATGTATGTATGCATGTATGTATGTATGTATGTATGTAATGTCTGTATGTGATGTATGCATGTAATTATGTAATGTGTGTATGTATGTATGTATGTAGTTATGCAATGTATGTCTGTATGTGTGTAATGTAACATAACTGAATATAATGAAATTTAATGTACTGCATTGTATTGTAATGTAATGTATGTGTGTATCTAATTCTGAAATGTATGTTTTTATGTACTGGTGCAATGCATGTATGTATGTACTTATGCAATGTGTAGATGTACGTACATATGTACATATGTATGTGCGTATTGTGTAAAGTAATGTAATGTAACCTAATATAGTGTAGTGTAATGTATGTATGTATGTATGTATGTATGTATGTATGTAATGCATGTATGTCATGTGTGTATGTATGTATGCAATGTATGTATGCCATGTATGTATGTATGTATGTAATGTAACATAATGTAATGTAATGTAATGTAATGTCCTGTCATGTCATGTAATATGTATGTATATATGTGGGTATGTATGTGTCCATGAATTTTTTGTGTGATGTAATGTGTTGCAAGAAAACGTAATGCAATGTAATGTGATGCAATGTAATGTAATGTGCTGTGCTGTAATGTAAAGTATGTCTGGAATGTAATGCAGTGTAATGGAATGGAGTGGAATGGAACGGAATGGAATGTAATGTATGCATGTGGGTGTGCATGCATGCATGCATGCAATTATGTATGTATGCATACATGCATGTATGCATGTATGCATGTATGTGTGTATGTGTGTTTGCATGTATGTGTGTATGTTTGTATGTACGTATGTACGTACGCACGCACGTATGCAAGCCGCCAAGACAGATTGCGCTAAGCTTTGAATTGCCTCTCCAAACGAGGCCTCACATCGCCCGCATCTTGCTCTTACATGCGACTTCCAGCGCAACAAATACTGCGACGCAGCCGTTGCATCTCAAGATGCGCGCCGTTGCCGCGCGCGACTCTCTCTTGCCCCCGGATATAGTTTTCTCTGGTTCCTTTGAGCGTTCCGTTTGCTAGCGGCGTGTTACCTGCACGCTCGTCCCCGCCGGCTCATTCATTTCGCGCATTCTGGATCGCTTTTTGCGATTTTCTTGTAGACCTGCCTCCGCTTGCGTTGGCCTGTCCTAGGCCTACCCAAGGGGCTCTCTTCAAGGCCTGTCGAACCCCTATCACGTAGCCCTCTTCTGGGCTGGAGCCCTGTCTGTGGGCCTGCTCTTGGCCTGCTGTAGGACCAACGTAGAATTTTGTCTGTCTACCGAAGGCCTACAAAACCCCATCCCTTCAGCCTTGGCAAAGGCCAACGCCCTGGCCTAGGGCCTACCCAAGGCCTACACAGCCTACACACCTCTCTGCTTACGCCCTCTCATAGGCCTACCAACCCCCTTGCCTGGACCCTACAACAGGCCTATGCACAGCCTTTTTCTCGGGAGATCTATGCCTGCTGGTGACATTCTATTTTTCGCGCTTGCGACTGGAGTGTCTCGCTTGCAACAGTATCAATCTTGGTTACACAAGCCCTCCGGGCCAGAGCCGGGCCGGAGCCGAGCCGGAGCCGTGCCGGAGCCGGAGCCGGAGCCGGAGCCGGAGAAGGAGCCGGAGACGGGCCGGAGCCGGGCCGGAGCCGGGCCGGAGCCGGAGATGGGCCGGAGCCGGGCCGGAGCCGGGCCGGAGCCGGAGAGCCGGAGACGAAAAAAAGCTATAGTGCAATTGACACATGCCTTGGCCCACATCTGGGTTTGCCTCAAAATAGAGGATCCTCTAAAATGGCCGGTGTCCTTTTGGATTCCTTTCACAAACAACAAAAGGGTTTCCCTCCCCCCCAACAAACACATATATTTGTCCAAAGAGACACGCCATGTCTTGGGAGAGACACGCCATGTCTTGGGAGGAGACCCCGAAAGAACCAAATGTAGAGCTTCCACTGAATCCGGCGGAACTCGGATTTGGATTCGCGCCTTGTTCGGGTGGCCCCTGCGCCACTGGATCAAATGTCCAGCCTCCACCATGTCCTGAACGACCCCCAACACCGGTTAAAACGGGGGGGGGGGGGGTGAAAGGGAAAAGGGAAACTGGGGGGAAACACCCCCCCCCATTTTCGCTGGAATTTCCAAACTTGACCCCTAAACACCGCTCGGCTTCTGCTGTTTGGCAAGAATTTTGGGGGGTTGGACCTTCATGGATTTGGTTTACCGGGCTTTTAAACCCAAAGTTGGGCCAATGTGAGGGTAGACCAAAATTCAGGGGAGGACCAGAGGTCTATGAGGAAAACTGTGCCGAGATCTGGCCAACCTAAAGAGCATCAATTGTGAGGCAGTTTGAAAGAGCCACCCCGGAAACCCAAGCGAAGCCCAGGGGAGACCCCAAGAAACCCTTGCGGAAAACCCAGGAACTCGGGGCTGCGCCATCCAAACGGGTCCCATACACCAACACGACGTTTCATCTTCAGATCCAGTTGTTACTACTGAGAATCTATTGGAGACCCCGGAGTTCCAGGCCCCTCAACTTCCAATCCATATGTTTCAGTAACTTGATCCATTTGAACACAGCATGAACTCAAAACCGATTCCGTGTCCAGAGATGTGGCAAATTGTGACCCTCCGTCACGTAGTGGAAACAAAGATTTGAGTTGTGGCTACCTTAATTTGTTCCCAAGGAAACATGTCTAGAAGGCTATGGGGTCGTTTCTCTTCAGTGACACTTCTGTGGGTTCTGGTCTGGGTCACACTATGCCTCTCAATCTGCGCTGAACATGTGCCAGGGAAGCTAAATTGAGACACAATCCTTGCCAACTTCTAACAAACGCTCAGTTGACTGCAAATGGTTTCAACTTTCAGCCCCTCAAAACGTGAAGAATCCTTGCCAATTCCCAGGCAGTTGCCTTTAACCTCTGGTCTGTTTGAGGTCATCCTCAGGATGACCCGACCCGGACCCCGAAAAATCCAAGCCTCGAAATCCCCGGGCCCTTCGGCGCCAAAGCCAACCTTTCTTAAGCCCAAGGCCCCGCTTTTTGGGGGGTATCCCTTTCAAATACCAACTTCTGGCGTATTCGAATCTCTGGCATCCCAGAAGAAAAGGCCCAAATCCCCTGTGACATACGCCCGCGGAACTTGAAAAGGGCCGTGGGCCGCTTCATGCCCTTTGCATGCCAGAACATGGCACCTCAACAGCCAGAGGTATTCTTGAAGGAATCTCCTTTTGGGGAAGTGGACCCCTTTTCTGGGGTCCACGTTGCCCTGAAGAGTTGGCCACCTTGTCTCCTCCCCTCCGCTTTTTGCAGGCCTTATGCGGCTTCAAGGGCGGCCTCAGCGTCACCAGTACCTGATCCAAGGATCCGACTCGGATGCGTGAAAGCCTCCAACCCAAAAAAGGAGTTGGAAGAAACAAACCAGACCCCCCCCCCCACTCATTGCTCGTGTTTCCCTTGCGCCCTCCGGTATGCCTGGCTTGGCTTCTCTTTCCCTCTGACCGAGTACCATCATGCGAAGCGGTTGGAAACCCGCCAGGTGGATGTTGAGTGGAGTGGTTAGCTTACTTAGCTTTGCCAGGCAACCCCCCGCCCCCGGCCCCCCCAAAAAGGAACAGAAAACAATGTCACTGGAGGGGAACCACCCTTCGAAGTTAAAGGGAAAATGGATTGACTGGGACGGCCTCATCAAGTATCCCGGGTTCCGAGCTCCACAAATTCTCCTTACTGGATACTTGGCCTGATCGGGCCAAGGGTAAATTGGTCGCTCAATTGAGCGACCAAAACCATTGAGGCTTATCCTTGCTTGACCAGGTAGCACCACCTACTCCCACATGAGCGAGTGACTAAAACGACCTATAGGAATCGGCTTTGGGCGCTGTGATCAAACCCGTGGATGCATCGCACAGGCCATGGCTCGTCAGCGCTGCATTCCGGACAATTCGATATTTGCATCAGGATGGTCCTCAGGCTACTGTACTCCCGGTCGCTTCCCGGGCCAAGCAAACATCGAACTTGCAATTGTCCACATGGACTTCCCAAAAAAAAGGTCCAGGAACTCAGGGAATGAATTCACCTCCGCTCTTCCCTGTCCAGCCTTCGCTGGTATCAGCCACATCGGGAACTCCATTGGGAGATCCTCGACCACCGGAACAGGATCGGTCCTGCAGGTCCGAGATTCGGCCATGCGAATCGAACGCAGTTGGTCACTTTGTTCCCACCCAAACGAAACAGACGTACAAAACATATGCTGCATAATCAGTCTGTCCACCTGGATCCTCAGCGTACCCATAACAATGGGCTCTTGTCCCCGAAATATGGGGTGACTCATCTTATTAGAAGTATTATATTTCTGAGGTCGTTGGGTCGAATTCGATAACTTCTGAAACCCCGTCAATAAGGGCTCCAGGCGGCAACTCCTTAAATACCCCGTGTTTAAGAGGTTGGACCCCCCCAAAGTGGAATTCTGGGTCGCAATGGACAACAGCTCAATTTGCATGCCAAAACGCGGCTCCACGGACGAAACGTGGAGGGGGAGGGGGGTCCAGCGCATTAAATACTGCGTATTCAAGCAGCGGGTGTGGGTGGCGGTCATGATACAGCAGGATTTCTCCCAGACCCATATTTCAGGATTGCTAGGTCAAATTCACAGTGAGGTCGGGTGACCTCGCTATAATTTACTCTTTTTTACAGGTAGTTTGAGGGTCCAATCAGAGTTTTACCGCCCCGTTAATGATTACTACAACGTTTGATCCTTCCAAAACTCTGAAAATCTTGAAAGGGCGCTATCCTGAAACCCACCGTATTGGCTTTGACAAGCCACCACCAACATTTTTGAGCCTGAAAGTTCGAATCCTTTTCAGGTGAGCGTTTCAAGCAACAAAAACAAGTCGAGTTCAGCGACTTCCCTTCAGCTTGAAACAGGAACCCTAGTCCCCGGCCTCAAAAAAAAAAAACATACCGCCATGGCCCATCATGGCAATCTCCATAGATCCCAGGCCAAAACCTCCTAGCCCGGTTTGCAACCATTTTGGTGACATTTGTGTATTTTGTTTTCTTTGGGGGGGGGGGGGTTGTGGGATTCCTTATGTTGAGACACACCCACTGCTGTGAAATGTGGGTACGTGCATGTGTTTGTTTTTGGAGGGGGGGTCCGAACATGTTGAGACAAACCATTTCTTTGAAATGCGGGTAAGTGCCACACATGGAGCCTCAGGGCAGTGGAACATGCACTAAGCCTGCCGAGTGCTCAGGTGTTAGGGCGATCAGTCCTAAGAAACAACAAGAACAATACGCAGTAAAAGCAAAAACACAAACCAAGACACACATGCCCAACTGCCCTACCAAAAGCAAGCGAGGGCAAAACGAAACAGGTCATTCCCACCAGTCTCCACCCACAATCCCACATTCCCTATTAAAAGCAAGCAAGAGTCAAAGCAAAAGGTCATGTCCAGGCCCCCCAGAACATAAGCCACAAAAGCCAAAGGGGCGCTCTCATTCCCTTTTGCTCCCCGCCCGAAAAAAAAATCACCCGCTGTGGCTTTGATGGTTGGGTTCACATCCAAGCCACCGACAGAGGGTAATTACCTCAAATCCAGCAAAGCACCCATCGAGCGTGGAAACTGAAATCTTGCAGGGATGGTATTGAAGCCCCCTGCAAATCTCCCGTGGTTTGCCTTTCTAGGAATACAAACGGTTCAGGAAAGGGAGAAATTCAAGGGAAAAAACACATCGCGAAGCCGCCCGGCCTCACAGGAGGATCTTCTGTGACTGCTTCGCAAGCGCAGAAGTTGTTCCCCATGGCACGACCGCCACGCGCCCTTCGGGCGCCGCTCTTGCCGCTGTCAACCCGGCTTAAGTGTCGCCGTGGAAGCGCCAAAGCGCAAGGCGAGCGAAAATGCTCCTTGGATGCCTTCAAGAACATCAAGTAAGGGCTTGAGAAGGCTCTGTTGCTTGTCTCGCGATGTCTTTTGCCAAGCTTGTTGGGTTGATCTTCATTTTCTCTATGTGCTTTGGCACGACTTCACGAATCGCGCGCACGATCCACAGAGCCCGATCAAGTGCCGCGGATGTGGGTATGTCAAACAGGTAATTCTCTGCAGGCCGAGTGAAACTAAGCTGAAATTAAGCAGCCCCCCCCCAAATCCGGTAAGGCTCATCTTTGAGATGTTCAGTGGTGACTCTAGATCAATGTAAGCAAATATGACCTGCAGGCCTCTGTGGGGCTCAAATGGTGTGGAGGTTTAACAAACCAAACACTTCTAGGTGTGTGCGTGCTGCGTTAAGTGCGCCTGTCCAACAGGATACCGAAACGGACCCGAATTTTGACAACCCCATCAAAGGGGTTGGCTTCATGCCAGTTCCCCCAAGCATCTAACTGCCCAAACGCATGCAACCCTCTAAAAGTTCACGCGTTGCCGGAACATGACGAAAACCAAAGGGCGCAAAGAGTTCACTGGCGCTTGCCTGGTCCATCGTAATGAGGCGGCGTGAAAAGGGATAACATCTTCTCCGCAAGCCCCCTTTGTGGGTCAAGCAAGGCACGTCTGTCTCCAAGGACAGTGGCTCATATGAAACAGCCGCGCGCAGCGCCTCACCAAAGCAATTGTCCGATACGCCACGTGAGCCCTGGCTACCCACCCGGAGTTATAAGTCAGGCAGGTGGGTGTGTTTGTGCGTCAAAATATGGGACCCCCAAAAGAATTAGGTGGCTTTCCTGCTGATGTCCCTTTAAATCAAGCTATTGAAGGGTACCCTGTATACAAAAACAGACCCAAGTGGGTTTTAACCAGGGTGACAATACACTTAAGTACCCGACAAGTACCCGGCAAGCAGCTGGCCACGGGTTCGCCTTCTCTGCCACTTTGCCACGCTCTCCCTCCATCTTGCCTTGGGTGTTTCTGAAAAGCGGACCCTCCAGATTCCGCCTTCTTCCTTTGAAGGAAGCCCCAGTGAGGGTAGTACAAAATGGGACCACACACACAAAAAAAAAAGACCTTGGCCAAATAATGTCCGTGGCTTGGACGTTGACCTTGCGAGGCACTTCCTTTGGACAACGCAAAAACTGGTTTTAGAAGACACTGTTATGGCTCCAGCCGCTGAAGAAAGACGAGGAATAAAAGTTTTGTTCTGGACAACTCTGCTGTAGAATCGCGATCAGATTTTAACTCTCTCTCCCATGCCTGCAGAATTCAGAGGGATGTGGCCCACTTCAGAGACACCGCTGGTTCGAAAACCACTCGCCCTACCTACTACGAAGGTTTCACATCGCCGAAGTGAAACAAAGCTCCTGGACCCTCACACTAAAAATGGGATCTTGCCCGTCTTGCCCCAAACTATTGGGGTGACTTTTCACGTTTTCAGGGTAACCCTTGTGGGAAGGCCTCCCACATTCCGATTCATCTGGGCTTGGAGGGTTCTGGCGGGCGAGATCTCCTTTACCAGAAAAGGTTTCAATGAGAACACCTGGCAGCGGCGCAATACTCATCAAACACGGAGACTTTCCTTTTCGTCCCGGAACTGCTCCACCAACTCTGTTGCAAGGCAGAACACTCCCGGGTTTGGTCTCGAATCGAGCAACCTCAATCTATGATTTCCCCTCCAAACCACCTCAAAGGGAACACAGAAAAGATGCACCTGGCATGGCCAGTGTGGCCATACAACCCGCGGTCCCGTTGAGAACCTGGCAGGTTCGGGCCTCAATTTATCACATGTGCACGTCCCATTTTCCTGGGGAACAATTTTCCTGGGGAACACCTGCCATGCTTGAATCCGAAACCGTCCAGCTCCCCAAAGAAACGAGAAAAACGGCTCGTCCACGAAAAGACTCGCTGCAAAACCACCGGAAAAGGACTCACCCCCCCTGAGGCCGAAAAAAACACCTGAAATTGCGGCTTCTCAATGGGGAATCCAGTTCGCTTTGGGAATGAACTACCAACTTGGTTCATGTTAAAGTCCAGAAGTACATACCCTTTTCCCTGGCGGTTTTCATAATACCCCCAACAAAGGCCTAGAAGCGGCTTTTGGCTGAATTTGCAAACCAAGACAACAATCCAAGACACAATATCTGGTTGTCAGGGTCCGTGGCTCACTTCCTGAGGAGATTAGCCAAATCATCCTTAAACTTTACGTCCACCAACATAGTTCATTGGCCAAAATAAATGTCCAGACTTCTTCACTAAACTTCTTGCCACATCCAAACCGCGAAAGTGACTTGCTAGCCAACTTGAAGCGGAGTTGGGTAAGACCTTACGGTCAAGTTTCGACCTGCCGAGTTGCCCTGCAAGTTCTCCCAGAGCCTTCGGAAGTCTCCAAAGTCCACCTCTCCCTCTAGGTATCCGCTGCCCTGGCGATCACACGGAGTCGGGCACCAAACAAACGCAGCCTCCAATACACGTCACCTATGGAAAAACCAATGCAGATCAACACCGGAGGTGTGTTCGGAGGGGAGTTGTTCAAGAATCTCAGCAATAGTTCTGTGAGGCTAGGCAAGCGTCGCGCAAAGGATTCGGATCCTCTAAATCAGGTTGACTTGTTTGACAGGCCGACACGTATACTTTAAGTGACCCTAGCAAATGGACCCCTGAGAATCCACGACTGTTATGTTTTTTTTTTTTAACGTCCTTTGAATCTTGCCTGTTGTTTGCAGCTAAAGCCTGTTTGTTTGTTGTTTTTTTTTTTTTTTTGCGTTGCAATGAGCCATGGCGTGCTATTTGATGGATTATGTATTTATATTCCACAATGCCAGCTCCACCCCAACATGGCTTGACACAAGACAGTTTTGGTGCGAACGCGGTCCACGTGAAATCACCGTCGTGAAAACACGTTTTCTGCCGTGGATTTTGACACCGGAGAATCTATGTGCTTCAGCCTGGTAATCTCTCGGCTTGTTTGGTTGAAATGGAGGTCAAGTCTTTTGCACACTTTGGTCCTGTGCACGTGCGGCGCCTGAATTGTTCAACGAGCTTAGACAAAAGTACGACTGGCAAAAACCGCCTTTCACGGAAAACAAGTAAGACAAACCGTCTTTCGAACCTCAGGGGACCCGAATCGGCTTGAAGCACTTTGCGAAGCTCGTATGGCTGTACCTGAAACCGGGATGATGTGCTCTTAGTGGTTCGTTGCTCAATTGTTCCCGTGTCAAAAGTGAGCGGCTCTCCGTGGGATATGTTTTTTTGGGCGGTCCATGAGTTCTAACAAAAATGGGTTCTAGGGTGCTACGTGGCTATGACTTGTCGCGGGAATGCAACGCGCGACCCGGCACGCATCTTGAGACGCAGGTAACGAGGGTCCTTGTTACGTAGGTGCGTAGTGGGACATTGTTCTGGCCCCTCCCTACTTCTTTCACTTCTGAATGCCGGTCGGAGCTTGACTTGATACCTTTTGAAGGCTGAAGTTCTCAAACAAAGGTAGCCTTCTGCACGGAACAGAAACCACCAGGCTGCTCTGAGCTCAAAAATAAGAAGTTCGGCCGTTTGGAGTGGGCGGTTTTTAATCCGCGTGGGGTGGGCAAGCTCGCTGCACCTGAACGAAAACTGGAGCTGGTGTCTGAAACTGAAACCGTAAGGGCACAAGTGGCTGGAAGGAGACGTAACTGACGCAACTTGGGTGCTTCCACTTTTAGCCAACCAAAGGAATCATATTTGTAAAACCTGCAAGGAACACACCCGGCCACCGCAAGCACGGTGGCTCCGTTCTTTTGGCACATCTTCAACTCATGGAGCTCAGGAACTCGGATGCCTGAGCACCATCAAAGGCTCAAGGGCTGAGTCCAAGAATATTCCTCCGAGGCCGACGACATCGGAACCCCGAAGGAGTTGAAACTTCGGCTTTGGGAAAGGCCAAGGTAGTGCGTGTGTCTGTGGATGGCGCGATTGTTGTTTGAGTATCTATTTTTTGCAGGGAGACCAAAAGGAAAAAAAAACAGCCGCGTTTCGGGTGTCCAAATCTCTGCCCAGCTGATGATCTTGAACTATGAACCTCTGCCAAAGCCGACTTCCTCTCCCGCAACCGCCGAGCCGCAAGCACTTCGCGGTCATCCTCTTGGAACTGATCTGCTAGACTTGGAGTCCGAAGAGAAAACAGCTCCCTGTTGGCTTGCCGTTCGGTAAGAATCACATGGGCTTAGCGCCCGGTCATCAAGTCGGGAAAGCCTTCGTCACGTCAATAGCTAAAAGGTAGGGGCAATTCTGGAACGTCACGTCAATAGCACTTTAACAACAAAGGTATTTGGAGTAGGGGCTAAGCCCAATTTCCCACGTCACTTGTGGACACCGGCATAAACATATAATTGTCATGTGGGCGGGGACAAAAGGTTGACAGCTTGTATGGGTTTGTGGATCCGATCATATATCAAGAGCCCACAAAAAGGAGGATCTGTCAACCTGGTCTTCCGGCCACATAGTCTTCAAAACCAGGTGCCAACAACCAGGTGATACATTTCAAAGGAAATGTAATTAAGCTATAAAACACCCGCAATCAACCCGCAAGAATCCGCAATCCAAAACACAGTGTCCGAACACCGGGTTTGGGACTTGAAAACTGGGCTATTTGCCAGAACTTGTTTCCGGGTTTTTGTCATGCAGTGATTTTGGATATGGAACTATTAAGAAAACAACACATGTTTGTTTGCTTCCGAAAGCTTCTGTGGGTGTTCTCGAATGTGCAAGCGACCATCAGGGCGGGTGTACCTGATAGATTTTCGCGCAACAGACGCTCTTCGAGCAGCCACAGGGATCGGAAAGCAGCGGGCTGATTTGATTCTGGGCCTTTGTTGGGTTCATGGGAAATGGAGCATCCTTTCGCCAAATGAAGCTTGATTCCGGGGCCCAGAAAGAATCACCCGCATCGTCAGTTGCTGTTAGCTTTCTTGTTGTTGTCTTTCTTTGTTGTCTTTTCCTCCGAGCAACTGTTCCTGTGTGTAGCAATTGCAAAGATAAAGCAAAACTTGGCTTAGCTACCAGGCAATCTGAAAAGGGGTAAAAGGTGCCGTACAGCCTTTCAGCCGGAAAAAGGCCATCAGGATTTTGGCATCTGAGGCAAGAATGTTTTTCTGTGCGCAGAAGCCACGAAGGGAAAACGGCGTCGATTTCGTCCGCTAGGGGTCGAAAGTGCACCAAGCAAGGCTTGGCGGGAGGGTGCCAAGATATGAAGCACTCGCAAAACTGAACTCGGCTTCCCAATTTGCAAGCAAAAGAAAAGACGAAACGTAAATGCTGGACATAACCAATTACCCTGTCTTTAAAAAGAATGGGGAACCCACAAACAAAAAGGGAACAATGGCATTTCCCAAATTTCTAAAGCGTTGGAAGGGGGTCGGATCCAAGGGTTCTCATCGAACCCTGTGAGTCCGAAGTTGTCTCATTTGCGATTTGTTCTTTTGCCGTCAGTTTCGGGCATACCAAAACAACACGACAAGTGAAGAACCCTCCTCATAGAGCTCCTTTTCCCCTCATCGCCCCCTTTGTCCATCCATGAATGTTCTCGGCAACCTCTCCAATGCACCCGGGAACATGGACGAATGCACGTGTTGAGACCTACCCATCGGGCGTGTCCGGATCCGCCAAAAAACAGAAAACACCGGGTGTTTGTTTG